TTTCCAAGAAAGTGGTTTTGATGCGCGTAAATATCATCAGTTTCTCAATTTAGCTCTGTCTGAAGAATTTATTTTCAGTGTCTTGAGTCTGTATTTTTTCCCCGTATAATTGGAGACTTTATCTGTAGATCTCATGGTCAAGTTTTGATTTTTAATCCGAGCATATAGTCACAAGTTTGATGTTATAGCTGCCAAGTTTGGTCGGTAAAACAAGTTTGTTTGGTAAAACAAACTTGTCCCACTTCTTTCTCCAAAGATGTCTAATTCTCGTGTTCTGTGGATGCATTCTGCCACTTTGGGGTATTTTAAAGTTTGATAAGATCATGGGCTTTTTGTTTTTTCGGATTCATGTGATTTCAGTTAGGAGGATGAATACTCTATCAGTTTAAAAAGTTCATCGTGTCTTGATAGTTGATGATCCAAACTGCTAGTTTAAAACAACATCTGCACCGGCCTAAGCAGTTTAATTCAAAGCTAGTGAGCAGAAAGTGAAACGCGAGAAGATGGTGTCATCCCAAATTAGAGAGAGAAAGAAGGGGTGAGACCCAAATGTTTAGGATAGAAAAGTTTTCGCCTTGCAGTTTTTCTTGCAATCAACGGGTGAGAAGTGTGAACTTGTGCCTAGTTTCTACAAGTTAATTTTTAAGATCTTTGTCTTCTGGAACTTCAAGAGTAGAGGTTACTTGAGGCATCTCTTGGGATGGTTGCTTGAATTCAAGAAGTATATAAAGAGAGTTGCTTTATGTCAATCTAGTGCTGCGGGGTAAGTGCTCCTTTGGATTCATGGAGACCTCTTAAATCTGAGCAAAAGGGAAAAATATCAGCCTATCCTTACCCTTACCCTAAAAAGCTTCTGTATTTAGACAGCTTCATGTTTGCTACTAAGCCAACAGAAGTAAGGAGGTAAGTATGTGCAGAGAGTGGCAATTCTTTGTTGAAATGAGGATTGATAGCATTTTAATTGCCATTGGGAAGTAAGATTTGTCCTGACTGCTGAGAGATTTTCTGATTAAGCGAGCTAGTTTTATCGGATCATTAGTCATTTATTGGCAAGGAATGCTTCATTTCGAGATTGGGGATATTGTCACCATGATTTATTGCCCGCGGATGTAGTTGCTTAGGTGAAAAATGCCTGCCGTACATCTTTTTCCTGAGATAATGCAGACCGGAGGGTATAATTTATGTTGTCAGGTGATTGGATAAGTAAATTGCATGTCAAGATGGAAATGTTGTTTCTTAGCAGTGCCTATCATCTTTGATTCCATCTTTGTCTCATTTCTGCTACATCTCTTCAGCTCGATGTTAACAATGGCTTGTTTATGTAACTTCCTAATTGAGCAGGTGCAAATGTTGGATCGGCAACGAATTTGCAGTTTGATTTGTTTTTTTTTTTTTTGGGATTTCTCTTTCGAAAGAGTCTGCCAACTTAGTGTTAAAGACCTAGAGATTTTGCTTCTGATACTATACTTCTTCCAATTTTGTTTTGCTGCTCCATGTAATTCTGACTGTATTCAATTATCTTTGCTACATTTGAAGGGAAATATTTCTGCTAAAATATAAAACATGAGCCAAAGAATGCCTTATACAAGTCAGATTGTCGACTTGCAAATGGAGCGAGGAGTCTCAAGCTATGCAGCACATCCAGAACCCAGCATTCTCATGGGGGGTGCCTGGCAATCTAACATGCACTCTGCGACAGCTTCAGGGGTCAGAAGTAGCATAAATCTCAATCATTTAGCGGAAGGACATGACAGTTCTGCGTTGTATCAGATGCTGCCATATGATGGTGTTCAAAATCATGCCGCAAGATTTGATATGGGCGCTTCAATGTCTTCAATTGTCTATTATCCATATGTAGCCCCTTTAGCTGTTCCCAGAGTATCCGCTGTTCCCATGAATTATGGGTCGCCCGATCAGGTGATATCCTTCAGCAATTCTGGGTTTATTGGAGGTTCATCTGACGAGTATGGAAGGATACACTATAAGGATCATTTCGGAGGTTCATTTAAGAGAAAGAACGCCGAAAGCACGAGCACTTCTTTCACTGCTCCTGTAGATATGAGCACTGATGGTGCGACCATCATGGATCCTCCACCTCACGCATTGCCTGGGTATAGAGAAAATGATGGTCCTTCAGTCATGGACGATGGATTTGACAGGAGCGTGAGAGTTAGATCAGGTGCTCTCGGGATAAACTCTATTTATCCACATAATGGTAGCAATCTGATGCCAGGAAGTTTTGTTGCACGGTCTATTCAGCCAACAGGTGCATTTTCATTTGACCAACCATCGAGAAGTAATGCCCTTGCTGGAGGTGTTCTGGCTTGGAATCAGGCGCCTGTAATTTCTTATATGCATGGTGAGTTCCTGATTTTGTTGATATTGCACATTAAATTGATCAACTATGTCATAAAAGTTCCTAGTGCCTCTTTACGCAAGTTCAAATTCATCTGGTCTCTGTGACGTGGCGACATCTATAAGGACTTACTGGTGATTTATGTTATTCTTTATAAGAAGAATAGTGGCAATGAGGTTCAGTAGAGAGTAGTTTCCATGTGTTCATGGTCATGTTTGAAACATCTCAACTCCATTAAGTTTAAGCAATGTATTGTTGCCATTTTTCATGCCATTCTTGCATGAGTAAAAACCTGAAATATAAAATATTTATCCTTTGATGAAGAGCTTTTATGCTTAAGTTTATATCTTTGTGACTAATGGAGACCTCTCTCTCTCTCTCTCTCTCTCTCTCTCTCTCTCAGCGGGCCCTGTGGATGGAATTCCTGTAGAAGTTGGCAACATGGGTGTGCGAGGATCTCATGAGACAGACAGAGAAAGAAGGGCGCCAAATTTCCTGCATTCTTCACACTTTGGCCACATGGGCTATAATAACATTCACCACCAAGTGCCTCATGTGCATGGAATCAGAGACCTTAATGCCCCATTTTCCCCTCAAGTTCCAGCAGCTTCATTTCCGGTTCCACATGGTACCATGAACATCCCTGTAGACGGTGTTAGGGGCCCTAGACATGTGGGATCTTTTGCATTGCCCGGATTCAGGATGTACCAACCTCTCGTCGAGGGAATAGCTCCTGAGACAAACCCGATACATTGCAATGTTCCCCAACCGAGAATGTTGCCCGCTGATGTAAACATCTATCTAGACGACCTTTGCTTCTCTTTTTCTTTATGCGAACGGATTGTGATGTGCTTACTGTTTGATATGTGCAGGAAGTTGCAATACTGGATCTTCCTGATTACTACAGAGTGGGTAATCACATTGACCATCACAGGGATATGCGCATGGATATAGAGGATATGTCTTATGAGGTAAGTGCACAAAATGTTGGTATAGTATTAGTGTGGTAATATATTTCCGTGTCTCACATAGAGAGAATGATGGCATAATTATTTTCTTTAAATGAGTGTAGCTGATTCATGTCAAACGGACTGTCCTGTTCTACTGCAGGAACTCCTTGCATTGGGGGAGCGGATTGGCAATGTAAAAACCGGGTTGTCTGAGGAAACAATAAGCAGTCAGCTAAAAACAAGAAGACATTTGTTGCTGTCATTCTCTATTAATCTAGAAGAGGTGCCGAGTTTGGAAAAGGAAGCAGCTTCTTGCATCATATGCCAGGTACTTTCCTGTTCATGGTTTTGGATTCATGGAATTTTGACCGGTTGCGCACGCATCACACGTACCAATCCCAAACAAATTATGATCTATGTAGATCTGATTGCTCCATTGCTGAAATGTTGCAGGATACTTATGAGCACCAAGATGAAATAGGCACTCTCAATTGTGGGCACGAGTATCATGCTGATTGCTTGAAGAAGTGGCTCCTTGTGAAGAATGTTTGCCCTGTATGCAAATCTGAAGCGGTGCCCATGGCGAAAACGGGATTGTAGGTGGATGGGCAACATCGATATCGCCTTAAGATTCGGCAAAACTTGCCATTTTCTGCCTCCATAAGAGAGGAAAAGTACTAATTCATAATTCGGATGTCGGTCGTGTAATTCATTTGTGTACTTGTAGATATTCCGGTAACGATATTTGTTGTGTTCCGGATGATCTAGCGATCCCCCCGTCCCCAAACTAATTTTTTGCATCCTCGTGATGGATGCTTCTGCCCTGTTAATGACTTGTACAGACTTTAAAAATGTGTATGTGTTTTTTGCTTTTGTGTTCGTTGATAATGTTTGGAATATATGGTAGCTACTTTTCGTTGCAAACCGATATTTTGGAGGTCTGACCAGGTAGTGGCTGAAGCATGATGCATGATTTTCCTTCAATTTGGTAGCTTCATCATCAGAAGCGTGACAATGGTTTGTGATGGATGCTAATTTAATCACATTGAGGAGATTTTCTGTCTCTACACTAGCTTGATTAGCCATTAATTAAAAAATAACCAGCTTCTTAGTGGAATTAATTAGGTTTTTTTTTAGCAAGTGGCGTTTCCTCTTTTCAGTACTCATTGGCCCTCAAGCAATTCAACAAGCCGACCAATGCTTGTTAAATATTATGAATTTCGTTAACTTTCAGGGGGTGATTGATTCGTCGGGGATTGAGTTGAGTGTAGAGTTTTTAGGGTACCTAAAAACAAGTCAAGGAAGCCTGCAATTAGAAGGAAAAATGGCCGTTCAAAATCTTGTCATACATCTCCACAAGATTACTTAATCAAATTTATTCTACCAAATTATACCAATATTGTCATACATTTCCACAAGATTACTTAGTCAAATTTATATGATACTAAATTATACCAACCATGATCCAAAAATTCGACATCGACCAAGGAGGCGAAGAGCAGTTTTAAGAACGTGGCATTACTCTACCAATGACGTGCAAAAGCAATTCTTACCCTCGTCATCCCGGCAATGGTTGTTTCCTTCGGAGTGACATCAAATGAGATCGCATGCACAGTATTCGTGAGAAGAGTATGAACATCTTGAGAGCATGAAGGTGCGTCTTCAATGGAGTGACATCAGTCTCTCACCGTTCCTGTCGTTCAAAATGAAAGTTTCCTTGTATCTTCTCAGGATCCGACATTCATAACAACAATCGTAAAACAGATACATGATTAAACTCGCCCGAAGACAGTTCCCTGTGTGACATGACCTATTCAGCTTAAAAACTAGAGAGCCCAACAAACAAATCAATACAGGATGGGAATAGAAAATTAAGCATCTGGAACTGAAACAAATGATAGATACGAAACCCTAACATCCAGTTTCCTTGGACTTCAAACTTAAACTGATCCGGCAAAAGCTTAAGCATCGCCATGCATGGAGATGGTGGTGCAAGGTCAGATAGAAGGTCTTCACTTCCCGCGTAACATCTTCCAATTCTCCAGGCAGCAGATTAGGATTCAATAAGAATTCCCCAAAATCTTTAAACTGTTACTCTTGACTTCAAGTGGAGCAACAGCCAACTTTCTTGACTGCGGACACGTCATCCTTTGAGCCGACATTGATAGTTTGTCCCTTGGGAAGGGCCGCTGGATCGTCCCCAACATCAAGTGCTTTTCGACTCACGACATGGTATATTTGTGTGAGCACTTCGGTGAATGCATTCTCTACATTCATAGACTCGAGGGCAGAAGTCTCCATGAAGTAAGTGCTCTCTCTTTCTGCAAAGGCCTTGGCGTCCTCTGTAGAAACGGCACGCAAGTGCCTCAGATCTGCCTTGTTTCCTACCAGCATTATCACGATATTAGAGTCCGTGTGGTCCCGCAGCTCCTTCAACCATCTTTCGACATTCTCAAAGGTGACATGTCTTGTGACATCATAAACAAGCAATGCACCAACCGCTCCTCTGTAATAGGCGCTTGTGATTGCACGATATCTTCATCAAGAAGAAAAAGGAAAATTCAAGACTTAAAGAGAAAATGTCATGTTGAATATCGAAAGCTTCAGAGAAAATAAATAATAGCTAGTCTTAAACTTCGAAAGACTGCCAATTGCTATTACTCTCCCTGCCTAGTATTGCTGATCTTTTAGGAGGAACTACATCCGCAACAGGCCAACCCTCAGGTTTATGCTACTAGACATTACATGTCGTAGTAAATAAACAAAAAGAAAGCCGGCAATTTTATATTCTATCAGTCTAAACCCTTACCTCATCATCTAAAGCATAAAAACTATCCATATACTCTTGATTCTATTGAAAGAAGATTAGATACGCGAAGTGGCAATGATATGAAGCAAATTTATCATCCCTATAACCAGTAGATCAAGTGTCAATACCCATGTTTTAGGTTCTTAATTCGTGGTGAACGACACGCGAGATATTGTCTTGGAATAGTCAAAACTAGAGTAGCACTCTATAATCCCAGAATCCTTGGGGACAGAGACCTTAACAGTTGATGACACAAACCATCCACTGTAAAAGACATAGCATCTGCCGTCATACGGAGTATGATCCACACAGAACACAATAACGCACTGACACTGAACGTCCATAGTGGCTGGATCTTATATATGCAAACTCGGAAATCGAGAAACTTGAGCTCATACACCAACGCAGAGTTAGTCCTGAAACCTCAATTTCACTACTTTCTCTCGTTTGCTCCCAGATCCGCATTTTCCAAACCCAGTGTAGAACCCATGAATATTCAAATCTTCCAAGCCTATAGAATCCAATCCAATCCTCAGAAGAAGATCGAAACCGTCTCAGATCTCAATTTACGACCGATTCGACATGCTATTCATTAAACTGCTACAATTTGTCTCATTCGAGATCTCATTCTGAGCCGCTAAATTGCGAGACATCGACACGAAGAGAACGAGGACAGGGAAATGCGAACCTCTCTTGGCCGGCGGTGTCCCAAATCTGGGCCTTGACGACCTTGTCGTCGACGCGGATACTCCGGGTGGCGAACTCGACTCCGATGGTGGACTTGGACTCCAAGCTGAACTCGTTCCGCGTGAATCTGGACAGGAGGTTGGATTTGCCGACGCCGGAGTCGCCGATCAGCACCACCTTGAACAAGTAGTCGTAGTCGTCGTCCGCTCTGTAGCCGCCCGCCATTGCTCCGAGCTTCCCCTTCCCTGCGGATCGGAGCTCAAAAACGGAGACCGGGCACAGGATTTTGTCAGGCTTTCAGCTTCGATTGAATCAAAATCGTGATGCTCGAAGACGGGGGAGAGAGGATTAAAAACAATGGAGAAGATGACCAAAGCACGAAGTTATTGCCAGTTTATCTCGATTCAGGCCCAATCTCTTTCGCTTCTTAGGGCTTTTCTCAGCCCATAATAATCGGTTGTTATAGAGATAATGACAAAAACAGTTCCTGAATTTTGGTCTAATGTGTAATATGATTCTTGAAATTTTAATTTGTTTAATGTGGTTCTTAAAATTTAGCCTAATGCTCAATGTGATTCATGAACTTTTAATTTTTTCAATGTGGTCTCTGGATTTTCGGTATATGTTCAATTTAGTTCTTGAATTTGAATTAATGAAAGGACTATATTGAACATTTTCATATAGTTCAGGGACTAAATTGAATATGTACCAAAAGTTTAGAGATGACATCGAACAAATTGAAAATTCAGGGATCACATTACATATTAGGTTAATGTTTATGAACCACATTAAACAAATTAAAAGTTCAAGGACCACATTGAACATTGGGCCAATGTTCATGGACTGTTTGTGTCATTTTCCCATCGTTATACTCTTAGGCTGCGTTTGGTTGTCCGTATTTCTAAACAGGATAGGACTGGATAGGATAGGATAAGAAATCATTGGATTTCTTCATATCCTATCCACTGTTTGGTGGACTACGGATTTAAAGTCGGATAGGATAATTTTTTTTTTTGGCTATTCACAGGTCCGGAGGAGTCGGTGAAGGAAAAAAAGCTGAGAAATTTTTTTGGTGAAAGCGCACAAGTTGTGGAGATGAAGATGACGGCGAGTGGAGCGTAGGGTTTTTGGAAAAATAGGCATTAGAAATCCTATCCAAATCTATCCCACCCTCCCTTGGATTTTTTTATCCGGGCTATATCCGGTCTATATCCGACCTTATCCTATCATGGACCACCACCAAACACAGGATAGGATAAAACATATCATATCCTGGCTTTTATCCGGTCGACCAAACGCAGCCTTACTATATGAAATTGACGGGCTAGGCGGGCTGGGCTAAATCTTGTTCGTTCAGGCTTGCCCAAATTTCCTTGAGCCCATCGGGCCTGGTGGCCGAGCGGGCTTGTTTTGTCGTGGAGAGAGAAAGGTAGTCGAGTAAAAATGAGTGACCTTGACAACATCTTTTTTGAGAAGGATGCTTGAACACATGGAACGAGAAAATAAGGAGAGGGAACAAAAGTTGGCTCAACTTAGGGGGATAAAAGACGAATACAATTCGAAAACTTCCAAATAAAAGTGGTTAACTTGTTTGGATGCATGATTCCAAGGTGATTTTATAATTCTTCATGTCTTTATAGTCTTTCATCGTTGAATTGAAAAACAGCATATGTGAGTCATCCAACAGATCTCAGCCTGAACGATTATGATTTTTTTTTAATTTTTGGATCCAACGGTGAAAAGCCCGTGAGACTTCATCCCTCCTGGGGACCATAGACTCACCCCATAATCCTGTTCAAAAATCCCCCTTGGTTTTTCTTCTTTCGTGCTTATCGTGTCTTGTTTGAAAATCTTGCTTATTGCATATCTTTTTCGGCCCAATTTCCTAAAAAACCCCCAACTTTAGCCTTTGTCCCAATTATATTCTAAGCTTTTTTTGTCTCATAAAAAACCCCAAACTTTTACTTTTGTCCCAAATCTACCCAGTTAACTTTTCGTCCAATTTTTTAATATTATTTTTTATTTTTTGGAATTTTTTTATTTTTTCTTTTCTTTTCTTTTTCCTTTCCTTTTCTTTTTTTTTTTGTTTCACCTTCTGGCCGGTCGCCGGTCCGGTGACCGGCCAGAAGTGGGGGCCGGCGAGGTCGGCCCGGCCGGCCCAGCGAGGCTCGGCCTCGCCGGCGTTGGGCTCGGCCGACCTCGCCAATGGCCGGCGGGGCCGAGCCTCCCGGCGGCCGGCGTGGCCGAGTTCTCGCCGGATCCGGCGAGGCTCGGCCCCCCATCAGCCGCCAGCGAGGTCGGCCTCGCCCAGCAACGGCGAGGTTCAGCCTCCCCAGCGGCCGGCGTGGCCGAGTTCTCGCCAGATCTGGCGAGGCTCGGCCTCGCCGGCTATTAGCGAGGTCGGCCTCGCCAGCGACCGGCTTTAGCCTTTGTCCCAATTATATCCGAAACTTTTTTTTGTCTCATAAAAAACCCCAAATTTTTACTTTTGTCCCAAATCTACCCAGTTAACTTTTCGTCCAATTTTTTAATATTACTTTTTATTTTTTCGAATTTTTTTATTTTTTCTTTTCTTTTCTTTTTCCTTTCCTTTTCTTTTTTTTTTGTTTCACCTTCTGCCCGGTCGCGGTCCGGCGGCGACCGGCCAGAGGGCGGGCCACGGCGGCCGAGCCTCGCCGTGGCTCGGCCACGCCGGTCGCCGTGGCGAGGCCGACCTCGCCCGGTGCCACGGGGGCCGACCTCGCCAATGGCCGGCGTGGCCGAGTTCTCGCCCGGATCCGGCGAGGCTCGCCCGCCGCCTATCGGGCGCAGGTCCGCCTCGCCCAGCAACGGCGAGGTCCGCCGAGGATGAACCTCGCCCAGCAACGGCGAGGCCGAGCCTCACCAGCCACGGCGAGGCTCGGCCCTGCCGGCCCCCGCCTCTGGCCGGTCGCCGGACCGGCAACCGGCCGTAAGGTGAAACAAAAAAAAAAGAAAAGGAAAGGAAAAAGAAAAGAAAAGAAAAAATAAAAAAATTCAAAAAAATAAAAAGTAATATTAAAAAATTGGACGAAAAGTTAACTGGGTAGATTTGGGACAAAAGTAAAAGTTTGGGGTTTTTTATGAGACAAAAAAAAGTTTGAGATATAATTGGGACAAAGGCTAAAGTTTGGGATTTTTTAGGGAATTGGGCCTATCTTTTTCATGTTTTTTGATGGACTCTCTCAAGATTTCTATCTAGCAAAGGGTGGGCCAATTGAATCACACGAATAGAGATAGAACCACATCATTCCGAAGCACTTTTACGATAGTTCGGTCATACCGTACGACATCATAATGCGTTGTCGTAATCCAATGCAAAAAAGTTGTAAAAAATCTGGTGATATGGTACACTAGTGTAACTTAAGAATGTCCCACCATTCCGTGGTGTTCTTTGTTTTGTTTTTTTTAAATAATAACTGTAAGAGAATTAGTGCCTCCTTACTTGTGCCGGTTGCGGCGGTAAATCCTCCGTGGAAGCGCGAGGTCACCCCCTCTTCCCGGTCATTGCCTTGAGGGGAATTCAAACTCACACCAAACATACCTTTGAAGCAGCAGCACTCGATCACTTAAGCAACATGGTCCAAGAAGAGGATTCTACTCGATACTATGTTAAGATGGTACATTGAAACCGATCCACTAGGATTGGGTGACTCAAAATGCCTTGGGTTGCTCAAAAGAACTTGAAGTGCTTCGACCATTTTGCCAAGGAAACTAATGTACTAATAATGAGGCCATCCACCAAGCCTGCCGAAATACGGAGGTAATCTACCGGGACCTAGAAATTTGTTCATGACTCTTGGGATCATGGAGACGTGGCCTTAATATTAGGATGATGAATCTAGCCAATTGGCCAGAATCAAGCGACCATATATCAATTAGGGGTGAACATGGTTCGGATGAGTAGTTCCCATATCGGTTCCGAAAAATTGAAACCTGAAACCGCTTGTTGGTTCCATTGGTCCGGTTCCCAGGTAGATCCATGGAACTAGTCCCCAATCCCTATAAAATTGCATTCATCAATTAATAGAACACATAGTAAGAAGTTACTGTCCGTTTCGCCATCTCCACTTGTCTTTCTCTTAAAACCCCCTGAACTCAAAACGCTTCAACCAAACAGACTCCCCACATTACCAACACCCGCATGGGAAACTTTGTCGAGATCGAAACTGCATACTCTGAACGCAGCTCGGAGGAAATGCCAATCGCTGCTCCTCAATCCCGCGACCACGGAATCCGAAGAAACCTAAGGGATGTTATATTTGTAATGTGATCCCACATTTAGGTTTGACCCACGTTTTCTCTTTTGAGTGACGGTTATCCACTGTCGGTTTTTCCACGCTTCGTACCCCTTCGGTGACAACCACCCTCTTTGGTAACCGCCTTGATGGGAAGTGGTTTATAAAGATGAACGTTCATTCCATAAGGGCAGACACAAGGTCTAACGCAAACCCTCTCATTCGGTAATACACCATCAGTACGCGAGGGGATTGGGTTAGTAGAGTGCGCCCGTAATCGTTTCGAATTGACGTCGAACTACCGTGGATTTCCGACGAACGTAAAGTTGAACAATGGCTGGAGGTCAGTTTATTTTCGATCCCGTTTTCCGCATTTGATTCTAATTGTGCTTGAATTTTGTTCTTCTATGCATGATTAGAATCCTTCAGTTTTAATCTTACATTTGGTATCAGAGCATGTTTAGTGCCTCTGCCTTGTTTTTGTTGAATTTTGGGTGCATTTTTCGGAGCTTTTGAAATGAACAGTAATTCGGGCATTTTGGGGCTAAGAGGGAAATAGCCGATTCCGGCCAAATTCCGGCGACCCACCACTCGACTTTGGACCGGCACGGTCACACCGCCATGGAGAAGAATAGCCCTAAGTTAATCTGGCATTTCGGTGATCGCCGGAGGCTGTTTGAGCGGCGGAAGTTGCGAGTTGGGGTTTATTCGTTTGGACGGAATTTTGCTTGATTCGAGTCTATTTCTTGGTTGTTTTCGCCGAATTTTGGGTGCATATGGTCGCGCCGATGTGGTCTCCGAAACCCATTAATTATTTTGGTATGATATGGGCTACCGAAGGAGACCCATTCGGACGAATGCGCGGCGAAACGGCGAAGAACGGCGAAAAATGGCAAGAAAACGCTTCTGTTCGCGCGGAGGAAGAAGCGCGTGGCGGCCACGCGCGCGCAACCGCTGGCGCGTGGTCTCCACGCGCGCGCAACTGCAGGCGCGTGCCGCCCACTCGCGCGGCAGTTGCAGGCGCGTGCGGCGTACGCGCCCGGGCATAGGGCAGGTGCGTGCCGCGCACGCGCCCTGGGAACCGGCGCCCCCCTTCGGTTTTTACACTCCGGCCCCC